TGGTGGTGGTGATGGTGATGGTGATGGTGATGATGGTGGTGGTGATGGTGGTGATGGTGGTGATGGTGATGATGGTGGTGGTGGCAGCGGTGGCGGTGATGGTGGCAGCGGTGGCGGTGGCGGTGGCGGTGGTGGTAGTGGTCGTAGTTGTAGTAGTCCTTGTCTCACCATCCATCATGCTGACCCATGGACTTCTAGCCCTGGCATCTACTTCCCACGGAATACTCACAGCTTTGTACACATGCTGGTCATGCTGCTGTGAAACAAAGGGTTCAGCTAGCTTTCCACTGTTTTTCCTAAAGACACCTATCTGGGTACAATATCCAACATGCTCGAATCCAGCTGGTGGTGTCCCTACCCCAGTAAACTCCACACAGTAATTGTAGCTGTCTGCCACTCGTGAAGCCCTGAAATCAAACAACAAAGAGAAATCACTTCCCTGAACATACAGTTCTGATTAAATAGCTTCATAAACAAACAGTTCGGGTGGGAGTGCCAACTCATGTAGCCACTTTGGAAATCCTCAGGAAAATGGGAATCAGTCTACCTCAAGATCCAGCAGTTCCACTCTTAGGCATATACCCAAAAGATGCACATTCATACAACAAGGACATCTGCTCAACCATGTTCATAGCAGCATTATTTGTAGTAGCCAGAACCTGGAAGCAATCTAGATGCCCCTCAACTGAAGAATGGATAGAGAAAATGTGGTACATTTACACAATGGAGTGCTACTCAGTGGGAAAAAAACAAAACAAAACAAAACAAAACAATGGAATCTTGAAATTTGCAGGCAAATGGATGGAACTAGAAGAAACCATCTTGAGTGAGGTAACCCAGTCACAAAAAGACAAACATGGTATGTACTCACTCATATATGGATTTTAGACATAGAGCAAAGGATTACCAGCCTACAATCCACACGGCCAGAGAAGCTAGGAAACAAGGAGGACTCTAAGAGAGACATGCATGGTCCCCCAGAGAAGGGGAAAGGGACAAGATCTCCTGAGCTAATTGGGAGCATGGGGGAGCGGGAGGGAGCTAGAAGAAAGAGAGGGAAGAACAGGAGGGGAGAGGAGAACATGAGAGAGCAGAAAGATTTAGTCAAGGAAAGAATTGAGGAGAGCAAGAAAAGAGATACCACAATAGAGGGAGCCATTATAAGTTTAAAGAGAATTCTGGCACTAGGGAAATGTCCAGAGATCTACAAGTTTGACCCTAACTAACAATCTAAGCAGTGGTTGAGAGGCTACCTTAAATGCCCTTCTCTAATAATGAGATTGATGACTACCTTATATGCCATCATAGAGACTTCATCCAGTAGCTGATGGAAGCAGAAGCAGACACCCACAGCTAAACACTGAACTGAACTCTGGAATCCAGTTGCAAAGAGGGAGGAGTGATGAGCAAAGGAGCCAGAACCAGACTGGAGAAACCCACAGGGACAGCTGACCTGAACAAGGGGGAGCTCATGGGCTCCAGCATGATGGCTGGGTAACCAGCTTAGGACTGCTCCAGACCCCCTGAACAAGGATGTCAGTTTGGAGGCCTGGGCAATCTATGGGGCCTCTGGTAGTGGATCAGTATTTATCCCTAGTATACAAATGGATTTTGGGAGCCCTCTCCACATGGAGGGATAGTCTCTGCCTAGACACACAGGGAGAGTCTAGACCCTGCTCCAAATGATACGACAGACTTTGATGATTCCCCATGGAAGGCCTTGCCCTTCCTGGCGAACAGAAAGGGGCTGGAGTAGGAGGTGGGGAGCAGGGAAGGAGAGGAAGGAGAGGGAACTGGGATTGACACGGAAAAGAAGCTTGTTTCTAATAAAATAAAATTTAAAAAAAGAAAGTCCACCCAGGAAAATATGAAGATGTACATAAGCACACACACACACATTAAAAAAAAATTCGTAAGTCACTTCTTGTCGGCAGTTTTAGGAAACACAGAAAATATACAAATCAAAGTATTTCTAAGCCAAGCATGGAGGTGCATGCCTATCATGAATAAGGCAGAATGATAAGGAGTTGAAAGCTAGCCTGAGCTATAAAAGGGGACATCATCTCAAAACAAAAAAAATTTTTTTTTTTTTTTTAGTTGAACACAAGCATATGCTGTATCACGAGGACGCCTGACTTCTGCAGGGGAAAAAAAGGCAGTGACACATTTTCAGTTACCAAGTCAACATGGGAAGAGGAAAGGGAGGCTATGGGACAGGCAGAGTGTAAGGGCGGATGAGGAAACCTCAAACGCTCCAGCCCAGATTATGTGCATTTGCAATTACACCAAA